GACTCCCTGATGGACTTCATCCACGGACTCTCCCTCTTTCGGGGTCTTCTAATAAAAATCTCTGAGGTTTGTCTGGTATAATTTGTGTTGGTACTGCCGATGAATTTAGAACAAATATTATAATGTAGTTCATAGAATCATAGAATCACAGAATGGTTTGGGTTGGAAGGGACCTTAAAGATCATTTAGTTACAATCCCCCTGCCATGGGCAGGGACACCTTCCACTAGACCAGGTTTATCCCATTTATCCCATGTTTCTGTCTGTTTGTTCACTGCAAACTATGGAAGTTCCTTGAGCATGGATAAGCCCAGAGAAAGCTGCTTTCAAGCACCATTCAGCTCAGGTCAGCGTCCATCCCCTGTTCAGAAGAAAAGGGCAGGCATCATCCCTCTGTCTGGTCTTTGTAACTTGTCCCTGAAATCCTGTGCTCCTGCACATTTGATGTGCTCCCAGTGACTTAGAAATGCTTTGAGCTTGCCCCTGCTGCTGTGACTTTGTATGGGCAAAAGGAAATTTCGGAAGATGTCATTAGCTCCTGCTCAGGTCCTTGTTTTCCTGGAGATCTGAAACTGTTGCTCAAATTGTTTTTAGAAGGTCTCCAAATACTGACCGCCTGTGGCCCATCATCATATAGGAGTATGCAAAGATGAATATATATGTTGAGTGAAAAAATGTCAGTCTCAAAAGGTAGCTGTTTTTGAAAGCACTCGTCTCTGGCAAAGAGACATGTTACTGCACGAATTGTCACATACAAGGGTAGTTTCCGTATTTATCATGGGATGTTTAGCGATCACAATAAAATCATGAAATGCAAGACACTGCTTGCACTTGTATAGGTAGGAGGGCTTCATCTTTCAGCTGGCTCAACTGCTTAGTAAGTTTTTGCAAATGTAAGTGAAATTCGAGTTTCTGCAACGTGTCTGCTGTAGGTGGGAATGCCGGTGTTCACCATCCACTGTTGAGGACTGCTCACTGCGGGGTAAATGGGTACAGATGAAAGGTAAGAGGGGTGGAGACCCTCCCTCCTGCCCCCCTAGAGAGGTGCTTGGCTAAAAATGCAAATATTTGCAGTCAAAGCAACAAGCAGAGTTGGCAGGAATGGGGAGAGGGCAATGCCAGATTGTCATTTTCCTCTGTATCTCACATATGAGTGGGCAGAAATGGAGGCAACAGTCTCATTTTTGTTATGATATTGTATTAATTGGGCAACCAGGACTTGTCGCCAGAGGTGAGCAAGGCAGGGCAAAGCTGGGTGGACAACAGGCAGGTGGATCTGAGGGTGCCCCCCACAGCTGCAGTGGCTTCTCCCCTCTCTTGCCCCTCAAGGGTGCCAGCCAGCCTTGTCCTCTTTCAGTCACTGAGCTCTGGCACAAAGCCCTCAGGTGATCCCTCAGAAGTGTGGGGAGCTGCTGGGGACAGCGAGGTGGGGCTGGGCATTGATGCCTGCCCAGGGGACAATGGGCAGCTGCCCACCTGCTTTAGGCTTTGGCCAGGGTGGGAGGGGAGCAGCTGCCAGTGGAGGGGCTACCTGCCCTGGGCTGGGTGGCAGGGGTGGCAGGGTGCTGTCACATCCCCGAGGACAGAACGGGACATGGGGTGGCAGCAGGTCAGGGCAACATCGCCGCGTGGACCAGCATCACCCACCACGTCCAGTGGAGGATGCCCAGGCAAGTTCCTTGCAGAGGGGGTGTTGTTTCTCCTGGGCTCAGTGGTGAGGTAAGTCACATGGGAATTATCTTCCAGCAAAAATACACTTTTTCTCATTGTTTTCCAGTCATGCAGGAGGGCCATAGGGCAGGTTTTCTGTGACTGACACAGGAGAGCTTCATACTGCTGCTACAAGTTAAGAGGTTGCAGAGGGGAATTCTGTGAATGCAAAACCCAGGGCTGCCATTATGGCATTGAAACCTGAACCTGGACATCGCTCAACCTCTCCTTCCTCTTCCAAATCCCTCTCCTAAACCCACAGCTTTGCAGCCAGTCTTCCAGACTCTCCAGGCCTTCAGTCCACAGCCCACAAGATGTTATTCGGCTGCAAAAATAGAGGAGGTAGAAGGAAGGTCTGTAACAGCGAGCGTATCTCAAGAAATTAGTGTTCTGGTTATGTCAGCAAAGCCGTGAAAGTTCCTGGGCAAACAATGCTGCAGAAAAAGTCATTAAAATATTGTGTCTTCCGCTTGGTGATGGCTGGCAGACATCCAGAGTTTCTATCCAGGAAGGGGATTAGAGCAGATCCTCTTGCCCTTTGTTAGTCCCTTTGGAGATGGCTTGGTGGCTCTTTGCAGGTGGACAGCTGTGCATGCTGGTGTGGAAGGGGAGGAAGAGGAGGGTGACGGGGCTGCCAGGGAGAGACAGTGTGAGTGTCCTTTGAAGTCATCAATCTAAGCAATCCCTGCTGAAGACTGCAGGATCATCCCGTGGCTCTGCAGCCTCTTGGGCTTTGCTCTCTTCTTCCTCCTTGTTGTAGTGTGGTGGTACAATATGTGTTTTTCCTGGCATGTCTCATCCAGCCTTTGTGAATACAGCTGAGCTTCTGTGTTTCTTTAGCTAGCAATCACTGCTGTGGTTTGCAATACTTCGGCAGAAAAACCTGTACTCGTTTTTCACGTGTCCAAACTGCATATTCCTGCCAGAAAAATATTTCATCTTAGGCTTGGCTGCAGAAGGAGGGTTATTCTTTGTTTTGTCCGCTCCTTTTTGCGGTTGTGCTGCGTGATATCTGTTCCATGTTAGAGTGCTTCAGCACAAGGTAAGGGGTAAACCAGCAGCAGACTGTCCCTCACCTTGTTGCCATCAGGCGTCCTCTGCAGATGTGTCAGGTGTAAGACTCAGCCTGCTAAAAGGCAGCTTTTGTGGGATACCACAGGTAAGTATAAATCCACCAGAATTCCATCCCTGAGGCACGTAACACCCTGAGAGGTGCCTTAGTTCCTTGAACAAAGTGCTGGCACAGCGGCAGGGTCCCCCAGCTTTCTTTTTCCGTGCTGTGAACGCCGCCTTTCCTACATCACCATATGCAGGTGTTTCTGTCCAGGGATATTTCTAACTGTCAGCTTTTCCTCCCAGAATTTCCCTGTTTCTGCCTGTGCAGTGAGGTGGAAGTGCCTGCCTCACCGGGTGAGGGTGACTTTCCTCATCTCATTAAAAAACAGGTTTTGATTTAATTAAAACAGGTTCTGATTTTGAATTAATTAAATCAGGTTTAGAGGTGCAAGAGGCAGCTGACTCAGGGTAAGGAGGATAGGAATGAGGCGTTCAAATTCCTCCAGATGCGAAAGCCACCTCTGACCCAGCCTGGGAGGGGAAGAAGAGAAATATCTTTTCGCCGCTGCCAGGAAAGGCTCCCCGCCACCCCTGCCAAAGCCCCAGCTGTCCATGGCTCAGCTGCTGGAGCAGCTTCTCCTGCTTGGCTCCAGACTCCCGTCTGCACCAGGCAGCCGAAGCAAAGGCTGTGATTGCAAACGTATTTAAGCTATCCCAAATTTCTCATCAATTCAAGACTTCAGAAAAATCTGTTTTTATGTGACTGCTGACAAATGTGTATGTTTACACAGAGAAATTCCTGATGGGTGGGCTGCAAATGGGTGCAGGATTTCACCCCAAGACTGAAAAAGTATACAGGGCATCGAAAATAAAATAGTCAATAATACAATGAATTTCATGTGATTCATTGCCATTGCATGCAGAGAACAGTATTCATTTTCATGTGAAAATCAGTGAGAACCTTCACTTTTTGTATTTCCCTGAAGGGCACCGTTTCCAGACTGGTGTTGCACACAAATAAAGGGCCCTACTTTGCAGAGAGGGTCTGTCCCTGGATGCGTAGGGGACTCACCCAACCTCTCTCTGATATATTGAGGTGCAAGTCCTATACACTCATGAAGTAATATAAATGTGAGCTTTCTACAAGGCACTTAACAGAGAAAGTATTATAGTTACTGATTAAAACAGAAGATAATATTCTGATTACATGTACAATACAGTGGCAAAGTGATTTTATACAGTACATGCGGGGACTTTGGCTTAAATTTGAGGATGAGATATTTATTGCTTGTACAGTTGTGTGATAAATTATTGGCAAGTAGAAGCACAGATGGCTTTCCCTTAAGATCAGGCATCACATGCCACAAATTATCTGGGAAATTGTCATTTTAAAAATAACTCTGGAGCAAGTGCCAAGCTGAGAGGGATATCAGTGTCTAATAAACAGAGATAAACACAGCAGTGCCCAAAATGAAAATATATTTGAATTAAACTATGGAAAGAGAGAGCGAACATGTACAATTAACACCTATTCTGTAGCAGTACAAATGAAAGCTCTTCATACTCTATTTCTTCTGTCTCTTTCTCATCAGGAAATGCAAATGATGTATTTGGTGCATATTTAAGCCGCTGTGGAGTTAATGACCTGAATAGTCATGGTAGATTCTTACTTTACAGCTCCTAAAAAAAGTCATACTGGATTAAAGTTAAGCAGTTACAGGCAAGCAATTTTTTTAAACTGTTTTTCAAGGTGGTGACGTGTTTACACCCTGAAGTGGCTGAGCTCCAGCGCAGCCATCACTCCTATTGTCTTCTCCAGCAACAGCATGTGCTTCACAGCTTGGAAAGCCTGCAGAAGCACAGAGGCAGAATTACGTCCTGCATCTCACAGCCACGGCTGATGGCTCAAAGCAGAGCATTTATTAGCCTGCAGCATGTGGCTGGACAGATTGGGGCAGCCCTACACTCTCTGCTGCCGTGCAGAGATAAGGGGGGGAGTGGATTGCATTGGCTTATCGCTTACCCTCCTCCTTCTCGAGGGGTGAAGGCCTCCATGTGTGAGTGAGTAGATCCAGGGCCCTGCTGGCCACCCCCCCGTCCCCCCGCCAGCCGTCACCTGTCCCAGCCTGTCCTCCTCTCACGCGCTTATATGGGCACGGCAGGATGGCATCTTGTGACGCCGCGCTGCTAAAAACAGCCCCAGCTCCCTTCGGCCCCTTGTTTAAACAATGCTCTCCGGCCAGAGCAACCCAGAGAGCCTCTGATCTCAGCACAGCCTTGGACTTATCTCAAGGGAAATTAACCTGGAAACCCCTCCGCGAGGCCGTGATCCTGAGCGTATGCCCCTGCAAAAGCTAGGCATGAGCACTTCTCTGAACTACAAGTCCTTCTCGAAAGAGCAGCAAACCATGGATAACCTGGAGAAACAGCTGATTTGCCCCATCTGCCTGGAGATGTTCACCAAGCCTGTGGTCATCCTGCCCTGCCAGCACAACCTCTGTCGGAAATGTGCCAGCGACATTTTCCAGGTAGGTTTCTTCCCGCAGAAAGCTCTGCTTCCCAAGCGGCAGCTATGTTGCCCAAGCTGGCACTGGCTGAAATGAATGGGAAAACAGGCGTTCACATGTTTTTGTGAATTGCTTTTAACAGTGGGTAAGACTGGTTGGGGGGGGAGTGATTTAAAGCAGAAGTTGAGTGTCCCCGGGGACAGGGCTGATCTCGCAGCAGAGTACAGTGTCACCTGTTAGCTGAGGAACATGGCTACACACTGCAGTGGCTGGGGGGGGGTTCTTCTGGGGCTGGTTGGAGTTCGTCCTCCACTCCGAACCCATAGTGACAAATTGTTTGTTGCAAGCTGCTTTTTTTTTTTTTTTTGCCCTGGTGCTTTTGAAAGAGGTTTTTGATGGGTTTGCATGGGCTTACTCACCTCTCCCTGTGCTGCTTGGCAAGAGCAGGCCTCCAACCCCTACCTGCCGACCAGGGGAGGCACAACCATGGTGTCGGGAGGACGCTTCCGCTGTCCTTCCTGCAGGCATGAGGTGGTCCTTGACCGGCACGGCGTCTACGGGCTGCAGAGGAACCTGCTGGTGGAGAACATCATAGACATCTACAAGCAGGAATCCACAAGGTAAGGAGTGAATGTGTGCCCGTCAGAGGAGGTTTGCCCCAAAAGCAGACACAGTTTAGGAGACCTGCGGCCTTTGGTCTTTCTGTTTGTCACGTATGAGGTTGATTTAGTTGTTTTCTCTTTTGGAAATGTGAAAAGGGGTCATGCTGCTGTGCATGCCTGTCTGTTTGCTGTGTGATGAAGTCAGCCTTCACTAAGCACAGAAAACCATACCCAAATAGATGCTGAATTTCCCTGCTTTCACTTCTAACAAAGGATTGTGCTGCGCTTATTCATATGAGCAACACTTACCCATGCAAGCAGATCCCTTGAAGTCAGCATGGTCACTCACATGAATAAGGGAAAAGTAGTTAGGTTCACAACATTTATTTTATAAACAGTTCAGAGGAAAATATTTGTCTTCAACCTGTGTGTTCTTGTGCTGAACAAGGGGAAAAAATTTCAAATCTTGTTAGAAAATCCTGAGGGACAGACAGCACAAACAAGAAGAAAACTGAATTTCATACAGAAGATACCCTGCATCATAATGTCAAATCAAAACTCAATAAAACTTATCTCCATTCCTGTCAGCTGGGGGATGTGAACTCATGAAATCAAGTGTTACTTAGGACTCCATAAAAGAGAAGGAATAGTCAGAAATAATATGTACCATTGCAGTGTGGCCGTGCACAAGAATCGGGACCCCAGGACAGGGGAAATGGGTTAATCCTGACAAGTAAGATTACTCTTGAATGTTAATTTCCTGTATTGGGTGTGTAATAGATCCAACAGAAAAAAAAGGTTTCGTTCTTGTCTCTCTTGTCCTGGGGTGGGTTGGGTGCATGGTACCCCCCTGGGGAACTTAGTAGGGGGGAAGCTAGGCCTGGCCTCAGGCTGTCAAGCAAGCAGTTTTCAACAAAGGAAGTCACCTGTTGTCACCAGTGAGCATCTGTAGGGCTGGTTTTGTATGGCAAGGTGTTTGGTACACCTGGAGGAAGGTGTTTAACCATGACCATGCTCCCTGACAGTCTTCCCATCCCAACAGGAGCTGGGTTTTGCAGGGACAATGATGTGGTGTCACTGGAGCAGGTGGACACATTCATCGGAGCCCAGCGCCTGGGGTGGCTTAGGGCACTTCTAACCACCTCCAGCAGAGGAGGACAGCCACCAGCAGAGAGGATGTTTCAGAGCTAGGTGGTAGCTTTGGCTATTCTGAGCTGTTTGAATCCCTTTGGGGGCTGTTTGAATCCCTTCAGGGACCTATACTGGCCATAGCTTGGAGTTAGAAAGTGTCAGAGAGCATGAAGTTGGCTTAAAATTGTTCTTTCTGCTGCCCTTCATGCTCACTGCCAAGGGAAGGTCACAGCTACCCCTGTGTGTGTCACTGATACCCAAATATTATTTTAGTCAGGAAAATCTCAGAGGAAATGAATCAGCAAAGCTGGTGGTGGACTTTGCTTTTGATCAAATAAGCTGGACTTCTGTTGCCTCATGTCTTTCTTGTCTGGGTTTGGTTTTTTTTTTTTTTCTTCCAGTTCAGAGTTGTATTTAATTTAAAAAAATAAAGAAATGGAAGCTCTTTTCCCCATGTATCTCATGGGCAATTGGAATAAAATTCAATTAAACAGAAATGTAAGGTATTTAGTAGATTTTAAAAAATATTTCACAGAAGTAAAACACAACATGATGAATAAAAGAGGAGAATAAAAAAAAAACACGTATATTTGCTTAGATATTTGTCCAAAGTGTTAATTTATTTAGTCTGTTAAGGTGCTAATTTAACCTTCACATATGTCCTTAGAATGAAAGTTGTCATCGGGGCTACATAGCAGTGGCAAAGCATAGCAGCATTATCTAAACTATTCGGCACTTTGTAGGCCTCAGCTGCTTATCTCCCTCCGGCTAATGTTCCTCAGGCTCCCATGAGAGTGTGAGCTAGATCTGCCATGGCTTTACTCCATGCTGTCCCACTGAAACTAAAAAGTCAAGGGAAATCAGGTTTTCTCTGCTTCTTCCTTTTGCATCAGTCTCTTCCAAACTGATGGCTGGAGTCTGGCAGATGTACATGAGACTAAGGGGGAGATGTGACCTTGGACTCCTTGTTTCTTCCCAAGACAACCCTTCAAACTGGCAGCACCTGAGATTTCCAGACAGGAGCCTCTTACCCCCATGACCTCCTGTGGGTGTAATTCACCATAACAGTACATGTCAGAATGATGCCAGGTCCCAGCTGCATTTCACATGAACTTGGAGAGTGTGTGGGGGAGGGGAATTCAGCTAGAGAACAAGCTGCTTTGTCTCCTTAGGCAAAAATAATTTATTTCAAAAATATTTTTTAAAATTTGAGTTTCTAGTTGAATTAAGGAACTGGTATTTTTTAAATAAAAGCTGGGGCAGGAGCTGGGCTATGAGGTTGTGAGGGTCTGCCCAAGCCCTCTCATGCAGCCCCTCCTACTACTAAAAATCCCATCATATGGTCTTTTATCCCATTACTCACCAAATTCCAGCTGATGGCAACGTAGACAGTTGCCCAATTTAGAACCCATTAGCAACACACGGAAAGAAATCTTCAAGCAGGACAGGACTCCTACAAAGCTTTAAAGAAGGGGAAAGGACTGAACCCAGTGGAAGTGGAGTTGACTAAAATACTACACTCATGTTTTTGAAAGTCTGTAGTTCACTGCTTACCTGAACAACCTGAGGAACATCAGGGCGCCTGCCACCACCAGGAAAGGGTAGCAACAGGAGTCTGAGACTTCTCACAAGCTCTGGCAGCCTTTAATGAGCTTGGCCGGCTATTCCTGATCAAAGGGTTCTTTGGGCTTTGTTACGAACTGGATCCTGATCCGGTAGGGTCAAGTGCTCTTTCTGCTTTGTGCCTGACAAGGAGAGCCCTGGTACAGGCTGCTTGTCCCTGCAGCCCCGAGAACAGACGGAGCAGTGCATGCAGCAGCGTGCACAGCAGGGACCAGGCGCTGGGCTGAGAGCAGCGTGTCTGGGCTCTGCGGTCGTGGTGATGTGATGCAGGATGGCGTAGCTAGCACTTCCAGGAGCGTCTATTCCTGACACCTCAGAGACCTCAGCCAGAGTTCCCAAGGGAGAACATGACTCTTCAGGATAGACTGCAGGGGTGCCTGGGGATCTCTATAAGCTGGGCCAGGGAAATGGGCTCCCTGTCCATAGGTCATGAAACAAGGGAGCTGCAGGAGGAACCCAGCCGACTGTCCAGGGAAAGAGATGAGGAGAGAGATCACCTGGATCATCTCCAACTCCCTACGGAGAAAAAGCCCCAAGCTTACCTGCTCCAATGGTTTTCTTGGGACAAGCATTCATGATAGTACTAGTGTAATGGAGCTGCAGGAAGCCCTATGTCCATATGAACTTTTTGGTCTTCTCATTTTTCAAGCCCCATTTCTAATCTGGGCATTGATTGATGGGCTTTTCACTGCTTTTGGGAGAGTCCATCATTGTGGTTGATTTTCAAGGACCACCTCTTCCAAGATCAAGAATGTGCCTTCCCCATATACAGGAACTCAAGCAATGATGGCAGGATACTGCCTTGATTTACAAGGAGCTCCTGATAAAAATAAAACATTAAAAAAGAAACAAAAGGGACAGGTGACTCAGCAATATTTTGAGACACTGTCCAAGCATGTATAGATGCAGTTAGGAAAGCCAAAGCCCACCTGGAAGTGAGTCTGGCAAGGGACATGAAGGCTAAGAAAAAGAGCTTCTACAGGTACCTCAGCAGCAATAGGAAGATTAGGGAAAGCGTGGGTCTACCACTAAGTGGAGTAGGGGCTCCTGTGGCAAAGGATGTAGCAAAGGACAAAATACTCAATACCTTCTTCACCTCGGTCTTAACTGGTAAGATGGGTCTTCAGGAATCCCAAGTCCCCTTGACGAAAACTTACCCTCAGTGGAAGGGGATCAGGTTAGGTAATATTAAAAAAAAATGGACATCTTGATGGAAGGCGCCCGTGAGTGGTGAGGGAGCTGGCTGATGTCATTGCAAGGTCACTCAATAATCTTTGAAAGGTCATTGTAACTGGGAGAGGTTCCTAAGGACTAGGCTGAAAGAAAGCAAATATTACACCAACTTCAAGAAGTGCAAGGAGGAGAATCCAGGTCATCCTTACACTGGTCCCTAGAAAGCTGTTTGAGCAAACCCTCTTGGAAACCATTTTCAAAAATATAAAAGACAAGAAGGTGATTAGAAATAGTCAGCATGGATTTATGAAAGGGAAATCGTGCTTAACCAACCTGAGAGCTTTTTATAGTGAGATGACTAACACAGTGAATGAGACGAGAGTAGTGGATGTTATTTATCCACACTTTCAAAACTGTATCCTCTAACATTTTTATTGACAAACTGATGAAGTAAGTTCTAGAGTGGATAGTAGACAACGAAGTGGACTGAAAACTGGCTGAACTGCCAGACTCAAAGGGTTCTGGTGAGCAGCACGAAGTCAGGTGGAGGCCAGGCACTATTGGTATATACATCAGATTGATACTGGGGCCAATACAGTTTAATCTCTTCACTATTAACCTGCCTGTACCTTACATGCAGATTCTCTCCATCCCATGACCAGGCAAATGCACTAGGTGATATGATAGTACAGGAAGGGCTACAACCATTCTCGGGTTCTCAATAAAAACACTATCAAAGTTGGATTCAGGATTTCCGTAGAAACCTTTTTGGATTTGTAGAAATCCTAAGGAAAACATGCCTTCTAACTAAATAGCAGTTTTCCTAAGGTCTTACTATGTCCCTTATTAAAGTGTGTTCCTTTATGTGCCCATCAACTTTGCATTTCCTCACCAAATCACAGAATCACAGGGCCAGTTGCCCAGGACCAGGTCCAGATGGCTTTTGAGTATCTCCAAGAAAGGAGACTCCACAACCTCCCTGGGCCACCCATGCAAGTATTTGGCCACCCTCTCAGAAAAGTAGTGTCTCCTGATGTTCAGAGGTAACCTCCCATGTTTCAGTGTGTGCCCATTGCCTCTGGTCCTGTCAATGTGCACCACTGAAAAGAGCCTGGCTCCATCCTCATTAATCCTTGCATTCAAGTATTTAGATACCTGAATTCTACCTCTGACGGTAAGATCAAGGTTATTGTTAAGATACCCCTGAGCCTTCTCTTCTCCAACTCTCTCATCCTTTTCTCACAGGAGAGATGCTTCAGTCCCTTCATCATCTTCAGGGTCCTTTTCTCAGCTCTCTCCAGTATGTCCGTGTCTCTTGTGTACTGGGGAGCCCAGAATTGGACCCAGTACTCCAGGTGTGGCCTTACCAGTGCTGAGAATCTCCCTCTCCACAAAACATGCACAGCACTCCACACATTAAGGTCCAAACCCAATTTTAATAGCAAAGAATAAACCTGTAGCAAACAAACACAGGTTTAGCATCTCAAAGAGCAGAGTCAGAGTACGAGATGGCAAAGCCACTAGGCCATTTCAGCAACCTGTCACTTCTTTGGTCACAAGCACATATGTGAGTCTTTTCTTCTGCTAAAGTCATGTTGTCATTCTCCTGTCAGCTACTCTTTAATCTCCCATTTCAGGAGCAACCACCATTTTAAACTTAGAGGTTGTGTTTTGGCCTTTGCTACACCACCACAGACTTAGAGGATCCCCTCTGAAGTCAGGGAATGTTGTGCTAAAAATTTCTCCTTTTGCACCGCCTAGGAAGGAGACCGTAGATCTGTTTACTTCTAGTCTTCTGCCACTGCCTTCAGGGCCCCACTAGTTCAGGGAGTTCTGCCAGGCCTCTCTCAGCTCTTTGCGGCACCTTTGAAGGTTGGCTACTTCTGGCTCAACTTGCTTGACACTGTCACCTTTTTGCCCTTTGCAATGTGTCTTTCATTCTAGTGGCACCATTCCAGTGTCAAATAACATTCTAGTAGTTTCTGGTTCTGGTCTTGTAAATATTTGCAGGAAGAGCAGCTATTTCAGGCTTAATTAATCACTTTGAAATTCATTGTCTGTTACTGCCCTCACATGCAGGCCCTCCCGCTGGTGAACTATAACATGAATATATATGGGGCTGTTTGCAGTCATCTGCAAACAATGTAAAGCATTTTTTTATAGTAGAGACACACCTCTCTTGACTAGCATTGAAATTACGCTGGATTTGACACTCTGAGCGCCTTAACGCAAATGTGTGCTGGAAATCTGACCCAAATACTACAGGCTTCCTTCAGAAGTGTCTGTCTGTTTTATTCTGGTATATCATATTATATTTCAGATTACAGATTTTCCTTATGAATCCTTCAAATCCCAGTCCCCTCTTGAAATTAAAAAAAATATGATTGCATGAGACATTTTCTTTGTTGCTTGATCTTTTTTTAAATGTATCTAATTGATCACATTCCACTCCCTTCCAAAGAGAAAACCTGTACTTTGTCATTAAAAAATAAATGCCATGTCCCCTCTACCAAACTGTATGGAAAAACTCTATTGTAATATAATTAAAATAATAGAATTTCATACATTTTTAAACATGAATAGAATGGCTGGTTGCCTCCTTGACACAGAGCTCCGTAGAATGGCTTTTAAAAAACAGTGCTTCCACATAATTCCATTAAATTCTATAGTTTTGGAAAATATTTTCTATCTAATGATTAAAAGATATGTTTCTATGATGCCATTGCTCCACTTGCCACTGGCTGTAGCCATAATTCTCCTTCCAAATGGTAGCAGAAAGGGAAAATATCTTATAACTATAGGAACTTATAAATAGCTTATAACTATAGGAACTTATTTATAAGTTCCTAAAATAACAGGGATCGGTTTGTGTGTATTTGGCTAAATCATTTTGGTGAAGAGAAGATCAGGACTATGCTATAGTCTGGTGACAGCTTCTGGCTTAGCACAGGAGAGGAACACTTCTTGTGTAACCCATGCCCTTGGCAATGGGTACAATTGAGTTGCATACTGTTAAAAAGTTCGGCACTGTACAAGCTAGACTTGTGCCACGTGTCTAAAATTCATTTACGTGAGACCTTGTTTTGGTTGCTGGCCTAGCGTAAAGGCTGAAGGACGCAGTCTTATTTGATATTGACAGTCCTGACCTAGGCCTCACAAAGCTTATCAGCAGAGACGTAAAGCTAAGGGCATGAAGGTCCATCGATACCAACAACTGTTGCTTCATATTAGTCCCCTACATAAAAGCTTTGCCAAGTGCCCAACATTTTGCATGACGAACCCGAAAGGAATTACATATGTTTCATATTTCAGACAGATGGTAGATAACATGCTAATTAAAGTACACGAGTAGTCTGAGATCAGTCTTAGTGAGGTTATTTACATTTTTAAATATGAACAAGGGTTCAGTGACACTCCCAGATGGAATCCCCATATGAAGTCATGTTTCTATATTGTCGTCACACCCTGTTGTGTCAGGACTTTATGCTGTACCACTGACTATTTAGTCATCCCATGTGGCAGACCACACAGCCTATTCAGGTCAGTCTTGGACACTGCTGTATGAATGTACTGTATTTCATGCTGGTACCCTAAATATTGTCATCAGAAACTTATGAGCACCAAATGTGTTTTAAATTTGTTTTCTTTTGCAGACCTGAAAGGAAGTGTGACCAGCCAATGTGTGAAGAGCACGAAGATGAGAGAATTAATATCTATTGTTTGAACTGTGAAATGCCCACCTGCTCCTTGTGCAAAGTCTTTGGTGTCCATAAAGACTGTCAAGTTGCTCCTCTCACAAATGTTTACCAGCGACAGAAGGTAAATATCTTTCTGTATCTCACACTCCTCCCAGCAGCCGACAGGACCACCAGCAAGAAAGTATTCCCATGGGCTTCCTGCAAGTTTCCAAAGGGGCCTGGGGTGCCTTTGCCATTCCTGTGTGTGAATGAAAGGCTCACACAAATCTGTAGGAACTGTTTAGAAACACAGGAAAATATATTTATGAGAAATCACACAGAAAGACATCACAGTGTCCCACATTTTGTTACTATAGTGAATAAATATTTTAGACAGCATTTTGATGTGAAGTTGAGGATCTCTCTTTTGAGGTTTCTAATCTCCTTTTTTCAGTGCTTTTAGATCAGAAAAACAAGTGGTATTTCCAACCAAAATAAAATTCCAAATTAAATAGTCATCTATCAGGCACTTTTGCCTTTAAGCATCCAATTTTTAAGAAAAGTGAAGTGAAAAACCTCCTCCTGCAAGTGAATGCAGGAATATTCAATAGCTGGCAGCACAGGATGTACCTAACATCCTCTGCCCTTGCTGTCACCAGTAAAAGACTTGTTTATTTTTAATGCAGTATTAATTTAAAACCTGACTCACTGGGTTATCCTCCTGAGATAAACAGCTCATTTTTCTGGAAGGCCCCAGTGGGGCAAGCAATCAGACAGGCCAAGTTTGCAATCCCAGCCTCCAACTTTGTCACACAGATACTTGTGTGTGGGAACTACAAATGAGAAGTCACTTTAGGAAAGTAGTTACAAATATTCTTTTCAATCAAAAAAGTAGGGAGAAAGGGGAGAAGTTTCTTGAACTGAATCCATGCCCCTGATCACTCCCTTTGCATGGAGATTTGCAAGCGGTGGTTTCCTTCTCAGTGTCCCTGTGGAAAGCGGCTGTCATGCCCAAGACTGGAGGCATAACCCAGAGACTGCAGGATGAGTGCTTCAAAGGATCCTTTACAAAGCTGTGGAGGCCACAGACATGGTTGCCCCTGTTACTACAGCTGTGTACCAAGGGCTCCGCGCCTTACCCAGAGCCCTCACCAATTTCTCTAGGGACTAGCTTCTCTGTATCTCCTCTTCTAAGGATGCTTCAAAGTCACCCCCCTCCCCACACTCAGATAATTTCCTTCTTTTACTCATGCTAGTGACTCAGCCTCCACCTTCTCCTCTCCCGTTTCTCCCTCGCCCTCTCACCACAGCCCCAGACCTACTGCCTTCATGCCAGGAGCTCTGTAGCATCCTGGTCCCTCTAGGTCCATGGGCCACCTCTCGTCTCCAGAGACAAGAGTTGCAGTCCTCAGGAAAATAGCACAGCAGTATGACTGAGGGCCTGTAGTGATATGGAGGGCCTGAGTATGACTAAGGGCCTGTAGTGACAGGTCAAGGGGTAACAGGTTTAAATTGAAAGTGGGGAGGTTTAGATTAGATATCAGGAAGAAGTTCTTCCCGGAGAGGGTGGTGAGGCACTGGAACAGGTTGCCCAGAGAAGCTGTAGATGCCCCATCCCTGGAAGTGTTCAAGGCCAGGCTGGATGAGGCTTTGAGCACCCCGGTCTAGTGGAAGGTGTCCCTGCCCATGGCAGGGGGGGTGGGACTAGATGGGCTTTTAGGTCCCTTCCAACCCAAACCATTCTGTGATTCTATGATTGTATGACTAGACCCAGACACTAAGAAAAACAACCCCTCAAGAGACAAAGTCTTTTCTTGCAACAAACCTGAAGGGAATATTTTGGGGCTGTTGAAACATAGCACTTCAGACTAAAGCATCTAGAAGAGCCTCCTAGAACAAAGTGTTTCCTCTTTTCCAAACCACAGCTTCTTCTCTATAAAAGAAGCTGATGATAGTAGTGAGTAACGTGCGCAAGTAAAGCTCCAATTTTCCTCAGTTCTGATGGAAAGAAGAGCTAATATGTGGTATGGCTCATTCATCCCCTGCTCCCCACAGTTATATGTGCCACCCTGAAGTGGGACAGTGTCTAACCCTCTCCTACGTGCTCTCTCCTTACTGCCTAGTCCGAGCTGAGCGATGGCATTGCAGTCCTGGTGGGGAGCAACGACAGAGTGCAAGGCATAGTCACACAGCTGGAGGAGACCTGCAAGACAGTTGAGGTGTGTACTACCCCTTTAAATCCAGTTATTTCAGTGTGAAGTCACATATTTTAAACTGCTGGTAATGATCATTCTTTAACAGATCTCACTTTACCCAAATGCGTTCCCATATTGTTTTGCTAAACTGTTACCTGTGGGTTTGTACAGTATCAGCTGTCCTGCCTCAATCAAAGGATATGTCCTGCTTGGCACCCTGCCTCTGACACTGTCCATGTGATTAAGGACAAAGAATAAGGATAATCTGTATCAGCACATCTTCCTCAGCACTTTTAGTTGCGTAGGGTATCACTGAAGTTAAAAACAGATCCAACAAAATGCCATTGATGCCCAGTCCATTTAGCATCTAAGATCAAATCATAAAGCTGTGAAAGACCAGTATTAGACTAAGGCCTGACTGGCCCTGTGAACAGAGCTTTAGTCTCAGCCACGGACTAGCCACAGTGCAGCTCGAAGTCTGTCAGTGAGCTCTGTATTTGGCTTCTTTGTCTCCTATGCTGAAGTAGCTATTTAATATATTTATGTTGTCCTTTAAGGAGTCTTGTTGTGCTGCTCATGAGAGGGAAGAGTTTGGGTTCTTACTATGAGTCTGGATTTTTTGGATAAAGGTCTTACTCTGACAGAGCTGGAATTAGTTTTGTGTCATTCAATACCAGCAACTGCTTTCATTTCCTTCACAAGGTTTGCACCAGCAAAGCAAATACAAATATCAGCTCTGACCAATTTAGGCATCACAGCACAATAGGCTGGAAGGAGCCTATATGAATTGGTTTTATGATCAGAGTTTAATGAAGTACCTAGTAAAGGAGTTGCATCCCTCTCTGCCCAATTAGAATTATATTTACCCTTCAAAGCTGGAGCAGAAAAGAGAAACTGCAGATAAAAAGAAGTTAGGCCAAGATGTATAGATTCCAGTTGTTAAGAAAAATTGTTTCCACAATCTATGTATACAAATGGCCAAGGCTCCTATTTCCTCAGAGCAAAGAAGAACAGAAAATGTCCAAGTTTCTTTCAAAGAACATAAAACCATTAACCCAAGTAAATGAGAGAGCACGTTAGCGGTAGTCAGGACTTTGTAGTCAGGAAGCCTTCATGTTGCAAGGATGAAATTGGCTGCTATCAGGACTTTGCAGACTGAAGCAAGCCTTTCAAGTAGGTTAACTGCAGAAATTTGAATGATACAAAAGCAAAAGCTTATACTCATTTAAGTTGAACTAGCTGAACCAGAAACAAAACTTCAAACATTTAATCTCAAGTATGAAGAAAACAGTGTGCTAAAAATACCTTAATAAATACAACAGCTTCTGAAACTAGCTTCCTCAGAGTCATCCACTCAGTTTGTAGTCTAACCTTTAAACCTGAAGCCCAAGGAAAGTGTAGCCTTTTTACCTTCAGATGTTTTAACAGGCTTTTCACCTTTAGAGTCAACGATTGCAGAAAAATAGATCTTAGAGCTTACCTTGGCACTTCCATGTTGCATTTCAAGCAAATCACATTTCCTACCACAAAAGAGCTTTGTCTGAATTGACAGCAGTTTGTCCTTGGAGATGAAAAGCTACATCTGGAGCTGAGAAATGTGCACACATGGAAATAACGCTTATAATCCAGGACTCTTTCTTCTCGCTGCTTAACACTTAGCAGAGAATAATGAATATCTGCTTTAGCAGAAAATACATGATCATTTGCCTTTTAGCTGGAGTAAGCAATAGCCTACAGTTCTTTATTTAGTTATTGCTCCTATCCAAGCCTAAAAAAAACCCCAGAAAGACGAACCAAAAAAATTTATTAATACTTCCATTGCTTTTAGCTGATGGATAGGTAGACCAAATCCACATGTTATACTGAAAATAAAAAAGGGAATATAAAATGCTAAATACAGCAAAACAATAATAGATAATTAAGTATTTTTTAGCTCCATAAATTAGTCAAATAATGAATGAAAAATTACAGTGTTTCTTTCAAATGCTAATAATGCAAGCCAGTCAATACAGATACTTCAGGACAAGAAGTGAGACTCATGCTCAGTGGCAAGGACTCTTTTTTTTTTTGCTGTAACTGTGCTTCAAAAAAAAAAAAAGGCTGAGAATTTTTAGAGTGGAAAGTCCTGTATTTGTTAACCTTTTTCATTACTCAGAATCTGATTAGAATAATTCCATCAGGCAGAGACTTCATACGGGAACATTCTATACAGAACGAGAGTATTTCAGAAATATTTCAGCATTGGCAGTTAGGAATCTGTTTTGTACTCTCACTCTTGAAGTTCACAACTCCATAATATTTGCTGGCAGGAATTATTATACATTAGAGCTTGGAGATAGGGAAGGCTTTCTCAGGGCACCCTGCTACTACTCTCTTGCTCTTCTTCCCCTAACACTTGTCCTGTGTCAAATGACAAAGATAGCACACACCTGTCTTCAAATTAAGGTTGTTTTACAAGTGATGTGAATGACATTTCAGAGGAGGTCATTGTAGACTAAGCTGAAGAGGAGTCTGGAGCAAGCAGAAGTGCAGGAAACACAGGGAGAAATCTAGAAGAGGAGTGGAAGAGGAAAGGAAGATTACTTGAGGTCTGAACAACAGAATGACGCCCAGGAACAGTGACTCACTTCATTCAGAAGTTTATCCCCACCCTATAATTCACTACTCACGAATTTCTGGGAAGTGGCAAGGACCTCCAGAAGGGCAGGACAAGCCTGCCTGCCCCTCTCAAGGAGTCTTAATTTAGGAGTCTGTTTAGCCTAGTCTTCCTCATTGGGAAGCAGAGGTGGATACTTCCATCAATGCAACAAGATCTGTATTTGCTTCCCACCCCTCAGGGTAGACAGTGTTTTTTGGCCACACATCCATCTCCGAAAGGTTTTCTCCTTTGACAATACAGAGCACACTGTCACCACTTGTAAGAAAGAGCTCTGGCTGAAAGTCAAGAAAAAAAAGTTGGATTCTCTCTGGCCAAGTGCTATGAATAATCAGTCTTATCACTTTGAAAAGTGCTGTGGGACTGTTAATAATCCTGTGCTGCCAGGATCTCAGCATTATGCCTTGAGGGAAGAAGATGAGGAATTGATGCAGCCTCAGTTCCCAGGAAAGAGATTTAAATAATCACCACCACCATCCGCAACCAGATATAACCACAATAAGGTTATGCCCCAGGGCACACAGATGACTCAAGTACTTCTGTTTGGTAGACCTCAGACATTACAGATAACCGGTCTCTGATTTCCTCCTCATAAATTCTCTCTTGCAAGTGCAATGTGTTCTTGTTAGAGAGTGCTCAATAAAGCAGTCATCCAACCCATCCTCCTTACTCAGTGAAATACGCGATGTTGTCTGGCTGGAAGGACAATGAAAGTGTCTCAGAAAATGATGTGAAAATTAGTGCCTGGAGGTAGGGTTGGAACCTTTCTTGTCTTTGTGCTTTTGTCACATGTTTTCTTCATGGTACCTCTACCTCATTCAGTGCACTGTAAATGGAATATAATGGACACCTATTGTCAAAATAGAGTCTAAGAGGGTGTATGTGAAAATCAAGCCCAGCCAGGATTGTTCCAGGTTCTCTGGTAGAAAAAGAAAATTCTTCTGAGCTGATTTGAGATGACCATTCCTTTAAAAATCATTCTGTTCGTGCAAATGAACCCAGCTGCTGATATGGTGGTTTGTTTTTTTTTTTTACCTTTTCTGCAGACTTCAATGTATCACTACAGACATCATAAATACCTTTCACCATTTTTTAGCAGACTGACGAGTTATACAATAACCTGTTTGGGGGCCTTTAGTGGCTTGAAACTCAAAGTTTGAGAACAGTTTTAAAACTTCTGTTCCAATAGCTTGGACTTTGAAAATTATAAAAGTCTCTGGGGTCATTCAGAATCCTTTGCACTGTTCAGAAAGAGGAATTTCTTCGATGAAAATGCTTCCAAGTAACTGTAAAAATAGAAACTCTTTTAAGAACATAACATGTTTAACATAAACCAAATGATTCACAGGAATGCTGCAGACGACAGAAAGAGCAGCTGTGTGAAAAATTTGATTATCTCTATTCTGTACTGGAAGAACGAAAAAATGAGATGACACAAATAATCACTAGAACCCAAGAGGAGAAACTGGAACACGTCCGCTCCCTGATGAAGAAGTATGCGGATCATTTGGAAGCTGTGTCAAAGCTGGTTGAATCAGGAATCCAGTTCATGGAAGAACCAGAAATGGCCGTGTTTCTGCAGGTATAAAAACTATAATTAGAGGTAGAAAAAGAATGATGGGTGTATCAAAATACTCTTTAAGCATTTCTCAGTCGTAGGCACATTCAGAGTTTGGTCATCTTTGAGTGAACATTTATACAAACAAATTTTTTAAACACTTGCATCAGCACAGAAAAATGACTAGTCTTCCTGCTATTTGCACCAACATATACTCTCCTGTGTATGAATTTTTGGCACCCAAAGAAGAAACAGGAATTTTAACATTTTCCAACATATGTCTATTGTCCCACTACTATAATATATGTATGCATAAACTTCTGTGAGGTAAACGTTTCACTTGCATGTTGACACAGTGATTAATTTGCCAAGAATTAAACATTTATGTTCTTGGTCACATTTTTATGCCTTTATTTCTTTTATTTTTCCTTCTGTTTTTTGCTGGTTAGGGAACCATTAGCAGCTTGTTCAGGAATTCATTGGTGAAAAATTTCTGTCCTGCAAGTTTACGGTTTTTCTATATTGAAGGCTGTCGGGGTGTTTTCTAAAAAAAAAAACAAAACAAAAAAAAAACCAAAACCAAAAAAACCCCACACACAATAAAAACCCACAAAAACACCCCACAACTTATTTTCATCAAAGAATTGCCTTTGAAGAGTACAGTATTATTTCCAGATGAATAAAATCTGTGGCTCCAGAATTATGGACTTATGGATAGTCAAAGATACAGTTACTATGACTAAAGATGGTAACGGAACAATTGCTTTTCACCACAGACACACACACAAAAAAGAGCAAAAATATTTCCACTTCACTTTTGTAGAAGTTGTACATATTTCCTACCATATTCAGATTTTAATTAAAAATTCTTCAATGTACTAAAAAGTTTAGTCAGCTGTATACTAATTATGATCTAAATTTGATCTCATCCATAGATCTCATGGTTGTCATTTATGAGATCCCTATTTGTGCATTTAGAAGCAGCCAGTGTAAGAATTAGATCTCAATGCATAAAATGTCTGAAAAAATGGAACCATTTAAGAAGTCAGTTATTTCCTTTTTGTTTCCACAGAATTCCAAAACATTGCTACAAAAGTAAGTACTTGAACTTGAGACTCTTGATCTTTATAATGAATTACAAATTACAAACTTATCTGCAAATCCAAATGCCAATAACCAATCTCTCTGTTTTAGAATTACTGAAGCATCTAAAGGATTTCAAATGGAAAAAATAGAGGATGGGTATGAAAATATGAACCAATTCACAGTGAACCTCAGTAGAGAAGAAAAGATAATACGAGAAATTGATTTTGACAGAGGTATGCAATTTATTTCACCTAAATTGCTTCTTAAATTGCAGCTGTGCGTAATTTACATGATGATACTGAGTAGGAAAACTTGAATCAGATATTTTTCTCTATCCCAAAGTGTACCTAGACCATTTTGTATCAATTATAATCAAAACCAAAATCCATCACAGTCAAAAAATCGCCTAACCTATTGACACCATTAATCTCACCTTTTATGTGACCTCAGCATTTTCCTAAGCCCAAGATCTTTACTGATTTCTCATGTGAAGGGACCACAAAATTAAACTTTTATCTCCATCTGTAAAGCCCTTTTTTCCCCTAAAAGATGTTGTTATTGTATGGTCTGCCTGCTCTAGAAAGTCATTAAAGAAATAGAATGTTTACTACTAAAGGAAATATGTATGGAAGGTACTTTTAACTCTTTTTTATAACAATTGAGAAACTTAACAGGAACATAATTGAAATTCAAGATCACAAAGTTAGAGAGGGAAGCAAAAATTATCACCTTGCATACATTTAACATCGTGTCATGTTGTTAGTCATGACATCATGACTGAACATGCTTAATATGCCTATATAATCATGCAAAGCTGTAACGCTACATTTACCAAAATAGCCTGAAATCTAGGCTCATCTACACTTTACCTTACAGAGTAAGCCACAAGAACTTGATGGAGATAAATGTTTCAAATAAGGTGATCTCTCCTATTAAAAGGCAGCACTAATAGTCACCTGGTTATCTCTAATGTTCTTGCTAGTGTTAGCGTAGCCACCACATAACCACAGAGTGATTATATGCAGGTGCTTTTATTCAGCGCTGGTAGCCAGGGTACGCACCCAAATCTGGCTACAAATCCCTTCACATCCCGAACGCAACTTATACTATCAAAAATTACACATGTATTAGATTGCGACATCAGCTTCGCTTCGTATGATAATGAGCTCCGCTTCTCATGGTAATTAGGTCTCCTCCCATCTGAGCATGCGTAGTTCCCTCTGGTGGTGGTCTCGGGGGTCTTCAGGTGGTCGGCTGGTGGTCATTTAGGTGAATGAACGGCCTTAAACTTTTTACCTTTCTTAGTTCACACATGCGCATTACCTATTTCATTACCTCACTACTTCTATGTTTATAGTTCTCCTAAGTTACAGTACATTAGGAGTTGGTACAGAATGAACACAATGAACACATAAATCAACTTCACCTTCTTCAATTGTTCGTCTAGTCATACAACATTACTTTTTAACAAAGTCTCCTAGCAACTATTTAACATTATTTTAATGTCTAACCAATTCTACTGATTTTCTTGTATTTTACCCCAACACTAGCACTGGATTCTGCTAGTACATTTACTGGCCCCATTAAATCTCATGCGGATGCCATCCACTGACCCATCACTTACTCCCCTGCCACAACTTATATTAACTTTGGAGTGCAAGGCTGCTCCCTGTGAGGGACCTCGCATGCCTGCTGCACAGATCTTGGTCTCTAGGTTGGGATCTGTAGCTGTACTTGGCACAGGGGCCCATGGAGTGGGACAGCAGCTGTGGCACCAGTCAGCAGCAGAGCAGCAGGTGTCATCTCCCAGGATCATGAACCTCCTGGGATTTGTCCTGGGAGGAACAATCCCCGGTCACAGCCTCTTGCCCTGCTTGTCCCTGTGGTCAGCCACAGCTGCCACATCCCTGACACACAGGTTCATCTGCCAAGATGGTGACCTCTTGCTCTGGCCATGCACCCCCACCACGTGATGGGGAACGTGACAACCACCTCCTGGGCACAAGGCATTAGTAAGGGCTCTGGCAATTGGGACTTCAGTCCTGCATTTGGAACTCCTACTGCATCAGCAAGGTTCCTGTGCAGGCAGGGGATGTGGGAGCAGAGGTTCAGCACTCTCCTTAAAGGAGTGACTTTGTCTGCAGCAACATTTCTCTGTTATGAGGGCATTACTTCATTTGCCAATCAGCATTCCTTCTACACACTTGGGCACAACCACAACCTGTTCAAAATATGCAGCCAGTTTGGAGCTTGGGTTAATGCGTCCACCTAGGTTCATTTCTCTGAAGTGCTAGGGTGGCTCTGACCAACATCCGACATGTGAGCATGAATAGTGTGATTATGCAAAAGAAAATGCATTGTTAGAGGGCTCCCTCTGGAAACGAGCCAAGCCACGAATGCTGACAACAGGATGTGTCAGGTGACGCAAAAGCAATGGTTTGACCAAGTTTGACAGTCTGGTTTTAGGGAGGTTAGTACCCCAAACCTCGAGTCATGTATTGCAAAGCACTGACCTGGTAAAGATTTATTATGATGGCTTTAATGTGCAGATTTATGATGATGGCTAAACAAAAATACACACAAAATTTCCGGAGGGACATTTTTCCTGGCAGATTGTGCCAGACTAGGTATCCTCTCCCTGTAAAGCACAGGACTGTGCTGCACATTCCTCATGAGGATAACTGTATTGTCCTCCTTCCCACAGAAAGGGCCAGCTTAATATTTTAAAAAGAGTGTGTGTGTTTGATGCCCTCCCTGCCACAAAGTGCCTGTTGGCAGCTCCATGGCAATGCCTAGTGCAGGCTGGCAGGAGCAGGCTCCTCACAGGTGCCCTCTCTCCAATCCTCTGCCAGTATCAGTAGGTTTGCCATGCCAGTGTAAACGGCTTTTAATTACATAAAGACTACCCATCTTCACGTGGTCCTCAGCCCTGTCCATTTATGTGTCCTAATAGAGGAGGAGGGAGAAGAGGAAGAGGAGGAGACAATGGATGGTGAAGATGTGGATGAAGTCCACACAGAGTCATCAGGAGAGGAGGAGGAGGAGGAAGAGGGGGAGGAGGAAGGGGCTGAGAGAGCATCACAGCCGCCTCAGCAGGACCCCAAAACACAGAACACAGCGGGAGATCCCCCAGTTGAACCCACGCCGGCACCACAACCCATTGCCCCGGCTGCTCAGGTAAGTGCTTCCGGTGCCCCAGTGCCCTGCCAGCTATGCTGAGTGCGCCCCAGCAGAGCCCAAAAACACTTCTCTGTGGCTTGTAGGAACTGTGCAACAGGAGCACAGCTAAGGGAGTAGATGCACTGGAGAGCAAAATTGTTTATTGCCCTGGTACACATACAAGTAATTGTACCCTGTCCTCCTATATCGCTTGATAGGCAGAAAAATTACACTGCTAGATAAATTGAGATATATATGGGATATGTAAGATATAAATAAAAGGGTAAATTTGGGAGTTAAGCACATTGCAATGGATGTTCTACTTGCTGCGATTTAACCCAGACTAACTACTATAAATGAAATGGTTGTTAAAATATTTATACTATAAGAATTTGGCGCTCCATTTGGATCTAGTGAGCTTTCCAACACCAATTTTTAGAATCTATTTCTGATTTGTTTTCTGTGAATGGCATTTGCCATCTTCTGTTCCAGTTGTTCTAGGGATATCATCTAGGAGGATGCAGGGATATCATACACCAAACAGAAGACGAAACTGCCTCTTACAACCTAGTAGCAAAGAGGTTCAGGGTATGAATAATTTAGTCCAGCACCTTTTCTTAAGGAATGTTATTAGAATGAGGCAAAAATTGCTGTATATTCTAAAATACCTACATAAAAATTATACTTTCTGTGCTACTATAACTGTCCCTAGATACAGTTATCTTAGCAAACTATCCCCTTATGCAATTTACCCCGTGAAGCTGATGAGTAGGTAAAGGCTGCTGTTATGATATTTGAGGAGGTCAGTGTAAAAACAGGAGAGCATGTAAAGAATCTCTGATTCTGCCAAGCTCCCCTTATAAACCAAAGGAAAACAAATACTCTAGACCCATTCTTGCTTTGATTTAAAAACATACAAGAGTTTGTACCAGTTGTGCTTTATTCATTTAACCAAAATTTGTCTTCTGAGGATTTTCACTGACTTAACTCAGTTTATGTAGCCTAACTGATGTAGGTTTTTATGCATACAAGAACTAGGCATAAGCAGTTCTGCCCATTAACATTAAGTCCCTCACTTCTAAGGCTAAAATGGGAAAGGTATGGCATGCTGCTGTAGCAAATGTCGGTCAGACATGGAGTCAGACATGGCATGCAGGCATTGCACTGTGTGAAATACTTGTATTTCAGCTTTTGCCTTCTGGTGTAAGAAAGGCAGAGCAGAAATGCTGTGGTAACAGCAGGGACCGTGTGGGTCAGCCCCAAGAGCTTGATGCAAGCAGAGAGGTGCAGTTCAGACAGCTGCTCCTCTTCCTGGCAAAGTGTCCTTGGGTTATAGCATTGATAGTAGGGCTGGTGGGCAAATGTTTGTCTCCAGTGTCTTTGTATTCCTCTTATTCTGACATCTCATATCAACAGAATCATTGGCAAACATGTTGCTGCTAACCCAAAACCCAACAAACCATTTGAAGGTACCTACACCTGTTGCTCATGGCTGGTACCAGTTCATGAGGCTCTTATGCAGAATTTCTTACAGTTTTAGGATTGAATTGGGTGCTTATCTGAATTAAGAAACCATTTGCTCACTCCTTTCTCTGTCAGCATTCCCTTCCCAGCTAATTCTACCATCCTAGTCTATTTTTGGGGGTAAATTATTTTCTTTCCCATATCTGTGTTCTTCAAATGATAGCTGCTTTTGCTTCGCATTGTGATTGTAATTCTTTCAGACCATACACTAGCATAAATCTATTCCTCGCAGTGAGATGTAACAAGCACGGCATGCAGAGCAACGTGGCTACGGCAGGAAGGTAATGTGGTGCACTCTGCTTGTTCTTCTCTTTATCTGTCCCGATCAAGGATGAGGTTGTGACACCAAGTGGTTCTCAACAGACCCCAGAGTCTGACACTCAAGTGCCGACCACAGCAGAAACCATCGATCCCTTGTTTTACCCTAGCTGGTATAAGGCTCAGTCGCGGCAACCAAGCAGTCCAAGCTCAACCCCCGTGAGTGGGTTGGGGAAAGTAGGGTCTCCTGTTTCTCTGGAAACAAGTGCAAAGAAGGCAGAAACCCCAGCAGCAGCAGCGATCGAGGAGAGTGCACCGGGGAGTGGTAAGGAAAGTAATGCCACTGCAGCGACGTCCAAGGTCAGTGCTACCGAGGTCATCCCCAAGGGCTGTGATGCGCAGCAAGGCGGGAGCGGCAATTGTTAAGGAAAATGTGGCTTCATTTTCCTCTGCGTGCTAAAGAATAAGAATAACTTCGGAAATATGGAAACAGCATAGTCATTTCGGCAAACCCACTGGATTTATAGATGGTTGCAGTATGTGACAGGCTGAAGTTGCAGCTTTAGAGTAGCATGCCGACAGTTGCTTATGCTTAACTGCCAGTGCACCTTGCTTGTGCGAGCTGATGTCCCAGTTGCTCACACACACGCTCAGGAGCTGCCGGAGAGGCTGGCGATGCCTCTGCACAGCAGGTAGCTGCATGCATTAATAGCAGACGAATCCCGTGCATGAGTTTATTCTCATCACCCACTGAAAGCCTGTGTACATCACCTGCCATCCTACCGCCGCTGGTAGAGCATCTATGGCTTGGCTTTGCCTTCTGCAGCTCTGGGGCTGCATCTGGAGCATACTTCTTCCCCGTGTGAACACGAAGCTATGCAAATACCCAGCGCCTTCTTGCGTGTGTGACTGCCTCTCAGTAAGAGGTGTGATTTCCTGGGCTCAGATCTGTTGCAGAGGGTTTCCTCCAAGGATTCCTGGGGCTTGATTAAAGGAAAGCATGAAGAATATATCATGAATATATCCCAGTTCTGTGTTAGACTATCAGCAGCATGATAGGACAACAGAGATTGATGTGTTGGAGTACAGGAAATTGTTTCCCTTAAAATGAAAACGTTAGGTTTGGGATAGCCTGCATTTGAATATTCTTTCTTCTGCACATGCGTGTAAACTCCACATGGGTTAAAGATTCAAGGAACAGAGCTGGGGGAGCTGTGTGTGAAGGACTGGCACACTACACCTGCTCCTGCTCTAGTGCTTGGCAACGAGCCCATGAGCAGCACTTTCTAAATTAGCACGTTCTGATTTACAGCCTTAAGCCGTATGCTTTAACAAAGCAATCACCTGTGTGTATGTGACGAGAGGAGATTACGTGTGTGTATGTGGAAAAGAAACAGCTGGGTAGTACATATTTCAGAGCTGTTTCCTTCAAAGTTGGACTTGGCTGTTCAGCAGCCCTACAGTAACGAACTGCCACAGGGTGGGCAAAGAGTTAGAAGAAAAAGGAATGAATACAGATATGATCAAAGGGGTGATTATCTTTTCGCTGAAGGCTTTAGTCAGTGACACTTGAATTTGATGGATGGATTCTTGCCAGCTTCAAGCAACATTTGACCAGAAAATTTCCATAGCTATTTTTCAAGTCAGGGTTTGATTTGAGAGCAAGAGTGGGGGGAAAAAAAAGTATTTTAAAAATATCAAATCTGCTATGACCTTCTCTTCTTAAGTATATTCCAAATATACTGGCAAAATCAGTTAAATTTGGAGTGAAATTTATAGCTGCTGACTCCTATCGATTCCACTAATCACCAGGCAGCCAAACCTCACCATAGGCAGATAAAATCTGTACTGGGGTGATTTCCTGGGAGTTTGCCTGACTGAAGTCTGCTTCCCTGGGTCCTAATTTACCAACAGCAAGTAAAGGAACAAAACTAACATTTGATGTGGACAACTGTCTGAAAAACAGCAGCAGTCTGGTGCCCAGCTCTCTTCATTGTCAGATACCAGGAATGAAAACAGGCACATGGGAAAGATGTCAGTTGAATGATGTCAGTTCCCATTGGTGTGTGAGTTTGGGGGCGATGGGTTTCGATATTGTCCCAGATCATGACTGACACTGACATTCTGGGAGGAGGAGAATGTTGAGAAGAGTAGCACATGGTTAAAGGGATGGGGAAAGCAAGGAGCAGGGACTGTAGCTGAGGATGGGGTCATCCCTGGGCTGGCGACAGGGGGAGGGGTAGGAAAGCTTGGGGAGCAGAAAAATGCAGAGTGTGCTGAAGGACAGAAAAAAAACGAGTGACCAAGACAGAAGGATGATGCCACGGGATGATGCTGAGGTCAGATTTGCGGATCTGAGCTGAAATGTGTCTATGTCACGAGCAAAATGGCCTCTGTTGTGTGGCAGTGATCATTTTAAAGTATGTGAACTTCAACTTTGGTTTTTGTCTGCATGTGATTTTTACACAACCCACTCTGAAATGCCTTATTTGTTTATTATTTTTAAAACCCTGGCTGATGTTCCTCACACCACTGGTTTTACTTCCTTCCTCCAATTAAAGGATATCATGGAAAAGTGCTGTGGAAACAGAGCTTTTTCACTGAATGTAGTGATAATGACTGGCTTGTGTCATGACAACACTGGTGAAGCACTCTTCTTATTTTCTCACAGGAGTTAGCATTCTGCATATCACTTTTGGCATTTCTTATCATACTACATCATCTTTGGAATCTGATTCAATACATGATTTGTACTTTCATGGGTAGGAAATATTTCATTTTACCATTAACTAACAGTTCAAATACTTCCTCTGGTAATGTTCCTACATGGTTTTAAAGGATTTTTTCCCTTTCTTCCCATCCAAAACCATCATGCTAGTTCACAGCACAAGCTGCCTAAAACATTTCTTCCTCGTGTCTTCAAAAAGCCACCCTTCAGCTTACTCCTGCATGGTTAAACGTTGCATCTCCCCAGTTCAAAATGAAAAATTTAAAAGAGATTTACCCCCTCAGATATATGGGCTTATATTTCAGTTGCTGTTCAAATGACCAGCAGGATGCGGAACCTGTGGGTTGACAGGAGCTGTGAAGAGTCCCAGGCTTGTTCAGTCCAGCAAGTAGGGGAGGAAGATCTGGAGAGTAATGGTTGTCATCAGAGGGGTAAACATCAGGAAGAAAAACCCACTGAGTAATCCTGCTGCCAGGATTCTCACCACAAGCAAATCACCGCTGCTCCCTTGGGGAGATGGCTCAAGCCCTGCTCCCCAGAGGTCCCCATGGGGACCATGGCCAAGCTTGAGTCATTCTCCCACTGTGAAGAGAGTCCCCTCACACCCCAGCCCACCCCACACGCTGGGGACTCCTCTTCAGGTCTTTTTTCCACCAAAGGTATCCCAGTGAGTGTGGAGTACCATGTTTACACCCCCCAAAATGCATCCCCCTGTAGCTGGGGGGCGGTCCCAACCCTTTAGACATCCAAGGCTGTGTGTCTGCTTTTAAATGTTGGTGCTTGACAAATATTTTTCTGTAATCAAAGGGATTTTTCCTTAGGTTACACTAAGAGCTGAAATACCTACCGGATCAAGGACTAAGAATTTCAGTACCCAGTGAAGTTGTCCTGAATGCAAATACTGTAAATTAAACCTTAATTATTTCATAACATCTTTTCTGAAGTAGCTCCTTTTTGGTAGACACTGTCCATGATTTAGTTCTTTCAGCTCCAAATTCACATCCCTGTTAGGTAAGACATATGTGTATATTCAATTTCCAAAGTGATATGACTGATCTGCAGAGAATTATATGTTACCACTGGGGCATTTAATCTTATTTGCTGAAGACCAAAGACCTCTGACACAAAGCAACTGTAGTTACCTTTGGGTGTTTGCTCTAATGACAGAAAAATTCAATTTTCGTCTATTCTTTAACAAAAAAATGCTTGGTTTTCCCTGCTCACTTTCTGTACTGTGCTCTAAGCACTGTACAACATGATACTGTGCATCTATGAAAAATGATAAATTATTATTCAGCTTTTATGTGCAAAAATTCCAGCACTATGACTGAAGTATATCTCTCCATAAAAAATAGGGAGAGGGAAGAAGCTATCACCTACATTTTAACTGCGTAAGTTATGCAAAAAGATGCACTGTCTGATGGTAATTTGAATTTGAAAAGCATCAGACACTCTGAATCTCAATTAAATTTATGGATCATAGTTTAATTCTCATTTATTTGTGTTTGGTTTTGAAAATTCTTTGTATTATTACAAGAAGACATAAGGCTTGTTTGTACTCCTGGGAAATCAGACATGCCAATAGCATTATGTTCTTTTTCCCCCCTCTTTCTTTTTTAATTCAAAATACCTTTTGAAATTAAAAATAGACAAATGTCAGAAGATCTCATTTCTACCATTTGGGACCTCTTTCTATGTGGTCTCTAGTGACAGCTTTATGATTTATTTAATCATGAAATAGAAAGGAGGTGAGGGAGAGAGGCATTTTGGTCTCAGACTCTATTTGCATAAAAATTATTTTCTTCTCCATGTGTATGTAGTGAGGTGGCTGTTTAGACAGTTTATGTGTCTTTATCTTTCATGTGAGATATCAGGTCACTGCCCTTTTTTCTTCTTGTGTGATAAGCCCCTGAAAGCCAAATAACAAAATTACTTTAAATAACGGTAATAATTTATAATGATAATATAAGTCATCATGCCTGTCCTCATAAAAGCAGCATATAATTTATTTTCAAGCTATTTTAATAGAATGGACTGATAGGGATTTCCTTGGTTTTCAGCAAAAAAAAGATGTCAGTTCAAACCTATTAATCCCCCAAATTTACCTTATTTAAGGGCCACTTTCCTTTAAGAATTTGTATCTATGCCTCAAGAGATTTCCTCCAGAGTGCAGGAGGGTGTATCGGCAGGATACGGCAAGAGGAGGTACAGCTGTGTGCAGATTGCTTGATCTAAGAAGGGAATGGCAGGAGGTGATTCAGCATGCACAAAATAGGAAACTCCATACTAGAGAAACACATTCCACTTCAGGGAATGCCTAAGTGAGGAGTACAGTCGCCCCAGGCTGCTTCCATGTCTGGCAGATGATGGGAGGCATCTCCGGTGAGAGAGAGTTCACCAACTGCTGCCGGTTCACACTTGGCACCCCTTCACAACTGCCTGCGGAGTGCAAGGTGATATTGCTCTTAGCCCAGGTGCCTCTGCTCACTGTCCAGATTTGGGGGGTCTTTTGAAGTGAGTCAGAGCCTCTGTGGATGACAACCGGGAGCGAAGGAGCGGGAATAGCATCAGTGAGCTGCCTTGCCACCATGGGGAGTAACGTATTAGTGGAGGGTGACATAGACATTAACAA